ACAATTACGATACAAAAAAAGAAGGAAAGAGAGAGATTCCTACTGCTTACTGGTTTACAGCCCACAGGTCAAACTGGGCCCACCACCGATTTTGCAAATACAGTTTTATTGGAATACACCATGTGTATTTATTTACATAATGTAAATTCATTTCTTTTAAAAAAAAACCCCTCATTGAGGATATTTTTCCATTGATTTTTAGAGAGAGAAAGAGAGAGAAATATCCAAACACATTGATTGGTTGCATTCTGCATGCAGGGCCAGGGAGGAGCCTGCAACCAAGGTACATGCCCATATCCACTGAGTCAAACTGGCTAGGGCTTCATTTCTTTTTTTAATATATTTTATTGATTTGATTTTTTACAAGGAAGAAGGGAGAGGGAGAAAGAGTTAGAAACATCAATGAGAGAGAAACATCAATCAGCTGCCTCCTCCAACTGGGCTTGTGCCTGCACCAAGGTAGTTTTAATATATATATTTTTCAATTATTATTTTTTCAATTATTGTTTTCTTCTATTTTTTGGTATTTTGTTTTTTACTTTTCTTCTTATACACTCATTCTTTTTCTATCCACTCTAAACTGAATCGTGGCCATTTCCTCATTCATTCAATTCCTTGACCTTATCTTTTGGATATAAGCTCTGCCTTTTTAGATTCAGCTTCTCTCCTTCTTTTCTGGGTGGTTGTTGTTTGTATTTTTTGGATTAGTTGTTGGTTTATTGGAGTTTTCTCCCCATATACATATATTTTCCCCCTTCTTTCTTCTTCTTTTTTTCTTTTCTCTATTACTGTTTTTCCTTTTCTCAATATCACTTTTGCACTCTTTTCTCTCCCCTAATACTCTTTGCTATGGTGGTCACCTTTATTTGGGGTTATCATGAATACATTTGCATTTTGTGCCCTGTGTTGTGTCTTGTTGAGTTGTATTTTATACCTTTAAGTCAACGTGGTAGAGAGTGAGACACATAACCAGACATCCTGAGAGGAGTGAAAACGGGGAGAGAAAGAAACAGCCCCCATATGAAAGAAAAGAAGAAAGCACTGGGAAAGGAAGTAAATGAAATGGAGGCAAGCAATTTGTCAGAAAGAATTCATAGCAATGGTAATAATGATGCTGAAAAGGATGGAAGACAAATTCAACTACATGTGTAAGAACCAAGAGCAAATGGAGAAGAACCAAAAAGAAATGAAGAATGAAATAGCTGCAATAAGGACTAGAAGAAGTTGAGGAATGCATCAGTGAGCTAGAAGACAAGGTAGGAAAAAATACCCAAACAGAGCAACAACTGAAAAAACAAACAAACTTAAAAAACAGGAGGAGAGCCTAAAGGAGCTTTGGGGCAACACAAAACAAAACAACATCCACATAATAGGGGTGCCAGAAGGATAGAAAACCTGTTTGAGGAAATAATGACAGAAAACTTCCCTGATATTAGGAAGAAAAAACCCACAAGTCCAAGAAACTCACAGAGGCCCAAACAAGATTAAACAAAAAAGACCAATACCAAGACACATTATAATTAAATTGGCAAACACTAACAACAAAGTAAGAATCTTAAAGGATGACAGAGACAGAAAGTTAACTATAAGGGATCTCCCACCAGACTATCAACTGATTTCTCATATTAAACAATGATTGGGCTACCAAAGAAATCAAGGAAGAAATAAAAAGCATTCAAACAACAATGAAAACACAACAATCCAAAATCTATGGACACAGTGAAAGCAGCCTGGAGAGGGAAGTTCATAGCTCTATAGGCCCACCTCAAAAAACAAGAAAAAGTGGTAATAAATTATGTAACCCAATAACTCAAAGAATTAGAAAGACAGCAACAAGAAAAGCCCAGAGTAACCAGAAGAAAGGAAATAATAAAGATCAGAGTGGAAATAAACGGCATAGAGACCAAAAAACAAAAACAAAAACAAAACATGTGGTATTTTTCTTTCATTGACTGGCTTATTTCACTTAGCAAAATGCTTTCCAGTTCCATCCATGCCGTTGCAAATGGTAAGAGATCCTTCCTTTTTAGAGCAGCATAGTATTCCATCGTGTAGATGTACCACAGTTTTCTAATCCAAAACAACACAAAAGGTCAACAAACCAAGAGCTGGTTCTTTGAAATGATAAACAAGATTGATGAACCTCTAGTCAGGCTCACTAAGAAGCAAAGAGAGAGGACCCAAATAAAATCAGAAATGAGAGGTGAAGTAACAACTGATCCCACAGAAACACAAAGGATTATGAAAAAATACTTTGAGTAACTCTATTCCAACAAACTGGACAACCTAGATGAAATGGACATAGTCTTAGAAAAATACAAGCTCCCAAAACTCAATCAGAAAGAATACAAAAACCTGAATAGGGCAATAACTACTGAAGAAATTGAAGTAGCAATCAAAAATCTTCCAGCAAACAAAATCCCTGGTACAATCGGCTTTACAGGGGAGTTCTACCAAGTATTCAAAGAATTAAAACCTATCCTCCTCAAACTACTCCAAAAAATTCAAGAGGAAGGCACACTTCCAAGCTCTTTCTATGAAGCTAGTATTACCCTAATTCTAAAACCAGATAAAGACCCACAAAAAAAGAGAATTAAAGGCCAATATCCTTGATGAACATAGATGCTAAAATCCTCAACAAAATTCTAGCTAATCAGATC